AATAAGGTCGAACATATCCTAAGTTTAATTACGGCCGAGGATCAGTAGGTGTTAGTTCAAACGAGGTCGAACCAAAACCTAAGTTTGATTACGGCCGAGGGTCAATAGGTGTTACTTCGAACGAGGCCGATCATATCCTACGTTTAACTATGGCCGAGGGCTAGTAGATGTTAGTTCGAACGTGGTCGAACATATCATATGTTTAATTATGGCCGAGGGCCAGTAGGTGTTAGTTCGGACGAGGTCAAACATAACCTATGTTTTGGCTATAGCCATGGGCCATTGGGTGTTAGTTCGAACGAGGTCGAACATAACATATGTTTTAGCTATGGACTAGGGCCATTAGGTGTTAGTTCGAACGAGGTCAAACATAATATATGTTTTAGCTAGCCTAGGGCCGTTAGGTGTTAGTTTGAACAAGGTCGAACATAACATATGTTTGACTACGGCCGAGGGCCTGATAGGTGTTAATTCGAACAAGGTTGAACATAACCTACGTTTAGAAAGATATGCTTCTAGGTGCTGAGTTTGTCGACATCGTATACTTTAAGCATTGTTGCCTTGGTTGTACATTCGGAGAAATAGAAATAAACTTCATACATTGTTGTTTTGTTCATACACTTGGAGAAATTTACAAATTTTCGGGCGTTGTTTGGGGTTCCAGTCCTAGTCCCAGTCTATCTAGTCCCTTCATTGTTTGACCTAGAGAAGGGTTGAGAGGCCGAGCAATGAACTGGCGTCTTGTACTGCCGTCTTTGCGGACTTTGACTTGAAGTGTCCCCTTCGTCGCCTCGTTAAAAACCTCCTTGAGAAAACGCAATTGGGACAAAACTCAAGTGAGGGAAAAAAGAGTACGACTTGGGGGACACTTTATCTCCTAAAAGTTGTAGTATTTGAGGTGGGTAATATTCCAGTTGTTTGGTATTAGCTTTCCTTCCATTTATTCTAGTTGGAGTGACCCTTTGTTCGCTGTTGCCGTGATTTTGTACGGGTCGTCCCAATTTGTTCCCAATTTACCTTCCGTGGGTCTTTGCTTGCTTGTGTTTTAGCTTTGAGCACGTAGTCCCCGACTTTGAGCGGCTTGACCTTTGCCTTTTTGTTAATAGCATTCTGCTTGTTGTTTTTCAGCGATCATCCTTCTGTATGCCATGTCTCGTCGTTCTTCGACTTCGTCGAGCTTCTGCCTTCTGCTTTCATCGTTCCTTGGTCCGCTCTCATGGGAGTATCTTAGGCCGGGCTACCCGACTTTGACAGGTATTACTGCATCAGTCCCACAGACTAAAGAGTAAGGCATCTCTCCTGTGCTTGTCGTCGGTGTTGTTCGGTAAGCCCAAAGTACTTCTAGTAATATTTTCGGCCACAACCCTTTGGCGTCTTCAAGTTTTTTCTTCATGATGTTCAGTATCGACTTGTTGGAGGACTCTGCTTGTCCGTTGCCCGCGAGGTGGTATGGCGTTGAGAGTATTCTTTTGATAGGCCACTTTTCAAAAAATTCAGCGACCTTCTTTCCTGTAAATTGGGGTCCGTTATCGCAGCTGATCTCTTTGGGGAGGCCGAACCGGCATACTATGTTTTTCCATATGAAGGCGATCACTTCCTGTTCACGTATTTGGGCGAATGCTCCTGCTTCTACCCACTTAGAGAAATAGTCAGTTAAAACAAAAAAAATCGTACGTCACCTCGCCCTGCCGAGAGGGGGTCCACGATGTCCATTCCCCATTCGATGAACGGCCAAGGGGAGGTGACCAAGTAGAGGTATTTGCCTTCTTGGTGAATCATTGGGGCATACTTTTGGCATTGTACGAAATCTGCAGCCTCTTTTTTCATGATGGGCTAGTAATACCCTGCCCGTATGAGGCATCTGAACAAAGCCCGATTGCCAGAATGAGCTCCACAATGGCCTTCATGGACCTCTTCAAGGATGCGTCACGTCTGATTTGGGCCCAAGCATTTCGCCGGAGGGCCGCCGTACGTTCTCTTGTACAGGTCGTTGTGAATGTTATACCTGGCCGCTTGCATTGATAAGTAGGGATTTTGAATAGTTATTAGCGCCTTTTAAATTTCGTTTTAGTCCAAAAGTGTTTAATTGTCTTCCCTAAAACTGATGAAATATGCTTAATTGCAAGAATATTGGAATATGAGCCACTAAGATGAAATCCAACTCAAGAAGGAGTGATCTGAACTCAAGGACAAAAACAGGCATAGAAGCTCAAAGTGTGGACCGCAAAATATCATCTGCGGCCACAGATTGTGAAGAAATTTCCATCAGAGACAAGTGAAAAGTGCGGGCCGCATAATGACATGTGCGGCCGCAGAAGCTAGTCAAGAGCCAAGGTTCAGAGAACATGCATATCGAGTTCAAATCTTGTGCGGACTGCACAATCATTATGTGGCCGTAGAAGATCAGCTACGCAACCGCAGTTGCATTTGTGCGGTCCGTAGAAGAGCCATGTGCGGCCGCACTCAAAAATGTGCAGACCGCAGAAGAAGAGAGATGTGGCCGCGGTTCAGAATTGTGCGGCCGCAAGATTCAAATCTTGTCAAGACAAAGCAAAGTGCGGACTGCACATGGAATTGTGCGGCCGCAGAACCTCCGAAAGGGCATTTTTATCCGAAAATTCCAGCTGTGTATAAATAGAAGAGTTTCACTTTTTTAGGTTAAGTTGTGATATCAGCAGCCACAGTAGACGTTCTTCTTTACCTTCTTTAGTAGTTTTTGCCATTTTGAGCTTTTTGAACATAGATTTCATTATTTTAATTATCAATATGGGTTTGACTATCATTCTTCTTCTATTTCTTCTATTTTAAGCATGAGTAGCTAGATTCTCACTAGGTTTGTGATCCAACCCTAGAGTATAAACTTAATGGGTGATTGGTTTATTGCTTGTTTATGATTGGTTGTTTATTATTTAGCCTTATTCTTACTTTTAATTGCAGAATTAATGGTTGCAAACATTAGTTCATGCCTACTTGACTTGGTCTCTACTTGAGAAAGAGATACTTAGTCTAACAAAACTTGGCTAACAAGAAATTGAGGTAAACCAAGAGATTGATAGTCCCAATTAAAGGGTTGAACCTAGAGATATTAGAACCCGATTTGAGCTTTTTATCAAGCGTTTTGTTCAATACCCATTTGGACTTGAGAAAGCCTGATTGGGCAAAATCACTCTCTTACCGAGAGGTATTGAGTGGGTACTTGAGCGTTGATAGTTATAATATACCCCGACCAATAAAACAAGCTTTAAAGTTTACAACCCGTTAGGCAAACACCTAGGTGAAGTTCATAGCCCTAGGCCTTTTATATCATTTGAAAAACAACAAAACCTAGTTCTACTTCTTAGTTGGTAATCTTAGTTTAACTTAGACTTAAAAACAACCCAATTCTATGGAAGTGCAATTTGAGATAATTCAAGCTAATTCACTAAAGTATATACTCCTAAGTCTCATTCACAGCTCTCCGTGGAAAATCGACCCCGACTCTTTTATTGGGTATTACTATTGCATCGACCGTTTCATAATCTCAAATAGAGGTGTCACTTGAACGAGATCAATTTTTGGCGCCGTTCCCGTGGAACTAAAAATGGATTTAGCTATATATTTGGTTTTGTGTGTGAATTGTCTTCTTTTCCTTCCTTGTTACTGATTTTTGGGAATCAATTGTAGGTACCACAATGGCAAACAACAATGATCAACTCAGAAACATGCCTTTGGGGATGTGGACGTTGAAGATGACCAAGTTGAAGAGGTTCCTCTTGAACCTCAAGCAAATAGAAGAGGCCGGACGCCTCAAGAAAACGTCCCAGTTCCACCACCACCTCCACCAAGAGCGGCTCCACCCCGGGTGTTTCCAAATGAAGGTTATGCAAGTGCCATTGTCCTGCCCCGCATTAGGGCAGGCAACGTTCAATTCACGAATGTAATGCTTACATTGCTAGATCAAAGGGGATTCTTCATCGGGGCACCGAGTCAAAATGCATATAAACACTTGAAAAGGTTTGTGGACACTTGTTGCGGGAGTGAACAGACAAACATCTCCGAGGATGCTTTATTGTTGAGGCTATTTCCTTTCTCTCTACGGGAAAAAGCCTTGGATTGGCTAGAAAGATTCCAAACCATTCCATCCACACATGGGATGAATTGGCGGAGAAATTTATTTCCAAGTTATTTTCTCCCGGGCATATGGCTACTCTTAGAGACGAGATTCCAGCATTCAAACAAGAAGCCAATGAGCCATTGCACGAAATATAGGAGAGGTACCAAACAATGGTCAAAGAGTGCCCCAATAATAACATGACGGAAGCTACCATTCAACAAACTTTCTATCGTGGGATCAACACTACCAATCAATGCATGGTCAACCAACTTGCAGGTGGAAATTTCATGACAATACCGTATGCGGAAGCTTATGAGATCTTAGATGAAATGGCGGATACTTCATTAGCATGGAAAAGTAGAGAAAATGTTTCTCAAGGTGATCCGAACGTGATTCGCCTACATAAAGAATTACATAATCATCACTACAAGAAAGTATAAAATTTACAACAAATTTTTTTGTTGCCATATATTGAATATTGTTGCGAAAAGTACTTTTGGCAACAACAAGAAAGTTGTTGCATGCCGTTACAATAAATGTTGATGGGAAAAGTTTTTGCAACAATAAAAGACGTTGTTGCAAAATGTTGTCTTAACGCAACAAAGAATGTTGTCCCCATTAATTATATTTTGGTTACACAATTGTGGCTTATGAAAATATTTAGCAACAACAATTATTGTTGCGATAAATTATTATTTTTTCCGCAATAATATTGCTTGTGGCAAAAAAAATTGGCGGGAGGGTAGCTAATATTCTGTTATAAAGGCTTTTAGCAACAAATATTATTGTGGCCACAAATCACTTTTTTTCAATAATATTACATTTTTTATTGTACAACTAGCAACAATAAATATGTAGTTGCTACATATACAATTCACATTTTCTATCTTTTAAAACATCACAAATATATATAAATTGATATATGATATATATTTGCAAAAGTCAATACAACTGAAGCACTAAGTATTTACATACCTTCAAAAACTAAGTACCGCTAAAACATATGTTTTTACTTACAAAAAAGAATAAGAACATTTCCAGAGTCATAATTTCTTTTCTAATAACAACCCTAAAAGCAAATTTTCTTCCAGTAACTTGTGCATTGATGAACCATATTACCACCTATGTTGGTTTAATCATGCTCATCCTACCAAAAAAAAATTATAATTATATTTTTTTTATAAATAAAGACTATAAAGTACACAAGTACATACCAAAAGAGAAAATTTGGGCATCAAAAGAGAGAATATAGCCGTGACTAGATTACATTGGAGCAAAATTAAGCATGATGGAAAACTTTAAGATAAAAGAAAAAGATGACTTAAATTTTAAGATAAAAAAAGACTTGTGAGATCACTAAACTCCTTTTGGCCATAAGAGTTCATATACAACAATTTCTTATGGTATTGATGCTGCCAAAAGGTGTAATAATAATAGTAAACAGGAACTCATCAAAAAAATGATAGTGAACAATCTCAAAAAAATTACAACTGAGAACTATAAAGCCAAAGAACAAGAACATCACCTTTCAAAGGTCCAAAATCAAGCAACTTTTCTTTTTCTACTAAGTTTAATGGAAATAACAATTAAAGAAGATAATGATTAATGACATTTAGACATTTATAAATACAGTTGCACGTAGATATTTATAATAATATTAAAGGAAATAATTTGTGCAATTTATGGTACTATATTTTAGTTAGCTTTGTATCTTTTATATCAGTATCGGTTGCTTCTATGCATGTTCTATTAAACTGGCACTGATGTAAGGGAAAGTAAGAATGTTACAAGAAGATGACAAAATGTGGATAGTTCTTGGAGAAACAGGATTCGGGCCACCCCTTTGACTCGAACCTATTTGATTAGACACGCTCCAGAGGTAATATTACAAGACTCTCCACATAACTAAGCACATCATTTATACAGTTAAAACCAATGTGGATGAGATGAATGTATGGTCGAAATACTTAAACCCAACTCATTTCCTATTCCCTTATCAATTCTTCTTAGCATAATTAGTTCAAAATCATAAATTTAATCCTTCTTTTTGCACTTTGGAACCAATTGCTGCACCTAGTAGTCTAATCCTGTGGCCTACTAGCTTCTGGGGCATTCATCATTACCAACATTTGTTTTCTTTCTTGTTTTAGATAACATATTGGTGGCATGTTAGCTTCAGGGGCACTCATCAATACCAGTAATTTTATTTACTTTCTTGATTTAGAAAATTAAACAATTATGCAAGTTGAAAGAAACAATAAGCAAGGGGGATTTATGACAACCAAGTTCGCGTTGTCTTGTAGTGAAACTGCCCAGAATAAGTTTGATACAAAGCCAAAGGTGACTTTCACAAAGCCAACAACTAATTTATTTGTGAGACCTGAAGGCAAAATTCATGATACGAATGGTGGTGGCGGCGCCAACAACATATTAGATAGGAATATAATGCAAACATGACAGTGAACATTATCAACCAAGGAATTTATTTTTATGAGAGTTAGACGAAGTTTTCTTACCGTGATGTCATCCATAAGTCTTGAGCAACTTGCCTCATCTGAACCACTTAAATTAGAAATAATATTGAGAAATGCAGCGGAAACTCCATTCTGTTAAACATAGTAAAACTACATAACTAAATTGGTGTATAAATCAGTGGAAAGTAATGATATAGGAACGAGGAAGAAACAGAGAATGCGACAAGAGTAATTTATAGATTCGGTTGTTTTAATATCTTCTTTTCCGTAATCGAAGTGGTTAGTTTTCTCGGTCTCTTTGATTAATTTTGCATTTACTACTGGTGAATCTCAACTAAGAGCTGGTTTTTTGGCCACTCCGGTTTAATTTTGCAGCTGTATTAACTTACTTCCTGGCATACATAAGCCACTCAGCTCGGCCAGCTGCAATAGGATATATCAAGAATAACTGCACCATAGCTTCCCATAACTAATTTATTCTATAAAAAGTGCTTTTCTTCCAGCAGTCCATTCCCTAATCAAACTGTTTTTTTTGTTACTTGTCACAGAAAAGGCAAACAATAATGTTATCAGATTTTTAAAAGTTGATTATATTCAATCAAAGACAATGTAAGGCTTTGTCTATCTTGATCTGCTTGAACTTAAGCAACCAAGAGCTGGTTTTCTTGCCACTCAGATTTTATTTTTGCAGGTGTAATAACTTTTTGCCTGGCAATACATAAGCCATTCAGCTCGGCCAATCTTGTTAAGAAATATAGTACCTTTTTTATTTCTTGAGTCCCCTTTACAGAGAAGTGTACTTGTCGTTCTTTTTGCGCTTTCTCATTCAAATAGACTGTCTTAATCACTTCAAGGCCGCAGTTTTTTGACTCCAAGCTCTTGGAGAGATGCTAAAGTTGTTGTTTTGAGCAGTCTACTCTTAGTTTGCGAAAAACCGAATTTGTTTAGCCTAAGCCCAAAACCAAATAAAACCTGGCTCTTTGTTGTAATTTGATCTACTCTTTACAGGGAAGGGATAAAGATTGCATTCTGCTATCCTTTGTAAGGTCAAGTGAAAATCCACAAAACTACATTTCTTTATTTTTTGGAGGCTGGCACAGGATTAGTGTGGCCCATACACGTGCAAAGTTTAGATACTGTTCCTCTGAGTAATTTGACTGAAATTTTCTCTTTTTGAAACTTAGTGAAGTTCCTCAGATTATATGGAATAATGTACTTCTCTTTTGATTGAACAGAAGAAGTTGATAATGTTAGGTTCATGCATTACACTGTCAAACGTGCCTCTACTAAAACTTCTCATAGAAAAGGTGGAAGAGCAAGGTGGCACTTTGAGCATCTCCAAGAAGGATATTGCTCATAAGCCAGAATTGAAGAGATGCTCCAACCTGAGATGATGGTGAACATGGTAAGATGTTGTGCCCCCGGGCCCTCCCTCCCCCCCTCCCCCCCCTGAGCAGATCAGATTACAAAATATGGAGGCTGCAGCCTAAGCCCAAGGCCATTTGAAGAAAATTTGTAGAGATCTGTTGTTGGACTTGGAGTTTTTGGTTACCCTTTTTGGCTATTCTCTCAACAAGTAATCTATTTTTCGTTGTTTCGTAATATTTTTGTCATGGCTTGAAATCAAAAAATCGAACCGATTAAACCGAACCGAACATGAATAAACTGAAACGAACCGAAGTTATTATGATTTCGTTTTGGTTATAAAAATCACAAACCAAAAACCGAATAAACCGAATCGAACTTCTTCAAAACCGAACCGAACCGAACCGACCGATACCCACCCCTGGGAGCTCTAACGTGATTCGATTCAGCTATGGTTGGACATTTTTTTTCTTTCACACTTTCTCACGTAAACAGAGTTCTAGTTTTCTAAGATTTTTCTTTTCTTAAAAAATAAATAATGCAAATACATTGTAAAACAGGGCATTTTTTTCCAAAGTTGGAAATCATCTACAATTACAAATCACCCCGTATTACAATCAGATACTAGTAATATTCCATGGTTCTGATGATTAATCCAAAATTTACTTTATGTTGGCCTCAATGAATAGCAATACACATGAATAAATTAAATATTCAAGAACCAAAAATTGGACAGGGGAGATAAAGAAAACTTTTCATGAACCAAACATATCAAACACCCAACTAGATACGTCTCTGGTTCAAAATACACCAGTATGATATTTTTAGAGAAGGAAGCAAATATGAGATTGCAAATTCTCATTTCTTTTAAATTATATCTAATGTGTATAAACCAAAAGGAGGAAGAGGAGCTACATATTGGATTCATAAATATAAAGTTAGCTGAGGCTCAAATAATTGTGGATGCAACACAAGCAATTTACTTAAAACACGGAACAGAAGAGGATTTAGGTCAATATCAACCCCTAAGTTTTGATATACTTTATTGAAAAAATTATGAGATCATAGACTAGTAATTTAGGATATTATTCTGTGATTGACTTGATTTTGCACATGAAGAAACGTGAATGACTTTCTTTTTAGGGCTGCCGTATAATTGATCAAACCATAAGGAATTAAAGGGAAAAAATCATAAATCCTATTCTGGAATATCACAATTTAAGATTCTCATACCCGGCTGGATATTTTCACCAGCCCCCAACATATATTCCCATTAAGATTCGTAGCAAAGTAACAGTAGTTCACAAACTTGGATCAGTTATAGCTATAGCTAGGTAGTATACTTGTTATTTTTCTGCTTGAATATTGGGAGGATTTTGCTGACTAAAAAGAGCCTATTGACAGGACAATGTTATTCTCATTAATCGACGAAGATGAAGAAAACGAAGAAGGAATCTGAAAGGAGAAAGCTAATTAGAAAGAGAACATCAAAAGATTCCCATACCCAACTAAGTACTTCAATAATAAAAAGCAATCAGAAACAGTATTTCCATAATTTGGTGAAGCCGTAATCGGGTGAAGCAATTGAAGATAGAGTACTTACCGGTTCTTCTCCGATCCAATACGATGCAATAAGGAGGACGCTGATAAGAAAAACCCTAGCCACAATGGTTACTAAATAGTGCGCTAAAAATTTGGGAAAAGTTATTAAAAAGAGAAAAAGTTTGGCGCGTTTGATTTTGACGAAAAATTAGAAAGTTTTAGGCCACAACCACGCATCTTATTGGCAAAATAATATGTATGCCAACAAAAAGAATTTATTGTTGCTAGTTCTATTTCTATTTTAAATTTATTTATGTTAAAAATTCTCCATTTATTAAAATTCAGCAACAATACCATAGTTTTTTCTAGAACCTAGTGGCCATTTTTTATAATTTAAAATTTATTATCGAAACCATAGAATATGGAAACAACATTAACACATTTGCCAACAAAAAAATTTTGTTGCCAAAAAGTCTATGCTATAGCAACAAATTTATGGAGTTGTTCCCATTTATCCATTTTAGCCAACAATATTTCAATTGTGGCTAAAACGTTGTTGCAAATTCCATACTTTCGTGTAGTGCATGGGCAAGCCATTTCCGAGTTGACCACCACAATGAATCAATTAACCAAAGCTCAACTTTACCAAGTGCAAAATTCCAAGCAAGTCAATGCCATGGAGGGAGTTAATATGATGGGGAACAAAATAAGGCAAAAGGGTCCACAAGTGCAAAACCGTGTGGAGAATTATGTATAAGAAGATAGTGGATTTGATCAAGATGAATTTTACAATGAACAAGAGGAGGAAGTGCAATACGTGAACAACTTTAAAAGGTAAAGAATCAACTCTCAAGGCCCGAATCAACAACAATGGCGATTTCAAAGTAATCAAGGTAATTGGAATTCTAACAACCAAGGTATTTGAAATGGTGGTAACAACCAAGGGAATTGGAATGGTGGAAATAACCAAGGCAATTAGAGTGGTAACAACCAAGGATATTGGGGAGGCAACAACCAAGGGGGATGGGACAATAATCAAGGCAATCAGTGGTCGGGCTTTCAAAGGCCCCCGATGTATCAACAACCGAGCAACCCGCCTCCTTATCCTTCCCATGGTCCAAGTTCTTCCAACAATGAGATAAGACGAACTGAGAATATGTTCAAACAAATTATGGAGAAGAATGCCAACTCAGATGCCCAACTAGCTTCACACAATACATCTATCCAAAACTTGGAAGTCCAAATGGGGCAAATCTCTCAAACCATCAACACTCGTCCTAAGGTAGCACTACCAAGTGACACGGTGGTGAACCCAAAGGGTGAGAATAACACAGGACATGCCATGGCCATTACTACAAGGAGTGGAAAAGGTGGGGATGCACCCACCTCAAGTCAAAGGAAACTTGTGGATGATGAGAAAGTGATACAAGAAGATGAGCCCCCAGACAATGTGGTGCAAGCAAATGATGATGTGCGGATTGATATTGATGAAAATGTGGAGGAAACTCAAGAGGAAATGAATCCGTCAAGGGATCACATTGTTGACATATCGGAACCGGTAGTGCAAAAGGCTAGGGCACCAATGCCTAGGCTTCCTCCTTCATATCCTCAAAGGCTTTCCAAGCAAAATGGCGAGAATCAAATCAAAAAGTTCATTAACATGATGAAAAGTCTATCCATCAATGTGCCATTTGTTGAAACCTTGGAGCAAATGTGCGGTTATGCGAAGTTTATGAAGGATTTAGTGACAAAGAAGCGGTCGATGAATTTTAAAACTATAAAAATGACTCATCAAGCGAGTGCAATTGTGCATTCAATGGCTCCCAAGTTGGAGGATCCCGGCGCTTTCACGATTCCTTGCACAATTGGAAGTGCCGAGTTTGCAAAAATTCTTTGTGATCTTGGGGCGAGTATCAATTTGATTCCCTATTCGATTTCCAAGAATTTGGGAATTGAGCAAGAAAGACCCACATCTATGAGAGTACAAACGGCCGATCGTACCATGAAGAGACCATTGGGAATGATTGAAGATGTATTGGTTTGTGTTGATAAATTCATTCTTCCGGCGGATTTTGTCATTCTTGATTGTGAAGTTGATTATGAGGTGCCGATTATTCTTGGTAGACCTTTTCTTGCTACGGGGAAGGCTCTAGTTGATGTTGAAGCTGCAGAACTTACCTTCTGGGTTGGTGATGAAAAGTGGTTTTCCGTGTGCGTAAGTCCATGCGGCAACCCAATAGCAAAGAGGTGTGTTCTTTCGTGGACTTGGTGACTGACGTGATTGTAGATGAAACAAGTGTTGTGATGAATGTTGATGATACAATGAAGGTTTTCTTGCTCAACTTTGATGATGACGAGATGGATGGCTTCATGGAATGTGTGAACTCGCTGCAAGGACTGAGGGCGTACACTTATGAGCCCCGCAAATTGTCCTTGGATCTTGAAAATAGGACAACTCCTCCAACAAAGCCCTCAATCGAGGAGCCTCCTATCTTGGAGATAAAGCTATTGCCTCCACATCTTCGGTATGAATTTTTTGGCCTTTCTTCTACTTTATCGGTTATTCTTTCCTCTTGTTTGACTGACGTGCGGGTAGATTCTACATTGGCGGTGCTATAAGAGAGAAATAAGGCTATTGGATGGACATTGACGGATATTCGGGGAATAAGCCCTGTATTTTGTATGCACAAGATTAACTTGGAGGAAGGTGCCAAACCATCTATTGAACATCAAAGGAGACTTAATGAAGCCATGCAAGAGGTTGTCAAAAAGGAGATCATCAAGTGGCTAGATGTCGGGGTTGTCTACCCAATTTCCGATAGTTCGTGGACTTCTCCAGTCCAATGTGTCCCAAAGAAAGGGGGCATGATGGTGGTTACCAATGACAAGAATGAGTTTATTCCTACAAGAAAGTGACCGGGTGGAGAGTATGTATGGACTATCGTAAGCTCAACAAAGTCACAAGGAAGGATCATTTCCCACTTCCCTTCCTAGATCAAATGCTTGATAGATTGGCCGGTCGTGCTTTCTATTATTTCATTGATGGGTATTCCGGCTACAATCAAATTCTTATTGCTCCAGAGGATGAAGAGAAGACTACTTTTACATGTCCTTATGGTACTTTTGCCCTCAAGCGGATTCCATTTGGGTTGTGCAATGCACCAGCTACTTTTCAACGGTGTATGATGGCGATCTTCACGGACATGGTGGAGGATTACCTTGAGTCTTCATGGATGACTTCTCGGTGGTCGGGAATTCTTTTGATGATTTTCTAGCAAACTTGGATAAAGTGTTGGCAAGATATGAAGAAACAAACTTGGTGCTAAAATGGGAGAAATGTCATTTCATGGTCGAGGAAGGCATTGTCCTTGGCCACAAGATTTCAAAGAATGGCATTGAAGTAGACAAGGCAAAGATTGAGGTGATTTCCAAACTTCCATCTCCAACTTCAGTGAAAGGCGTACGGAGTTTCTTAGGCCACGCGGGATTTTACCCGCGGTTCATCAAGGACTTCCCTAAAGTGGTGAACCAGTTGTGCAAGCTTTTGGAGAAAGATGCTAAGTTCCACTTCAATGATAATTGCATGAAAGTCTTAGAATTTCTAAAGTTCAAGTTGACTACTACTCCCATAATCACCGCTCCAAATTGGAGTGTCTCTTTTGAGATCATGTGTGATGCAAGTGATGTAGCGGTAGGGGCTATTTTGGGGCAACGCATCAACAAGATTTTTCATCCAGTCTACTATGCTAGTAAGACCATGAATAGTGCCCAAGTAAACTACACCGTTACGGAGAAAGATCTCATTTCCATTGTCTTTGCTATGGAGAAGTTCCGCCCGTACTTGATGGGTGCAAAAGTCATTGTCCACACAGATCATGCGGAACTTCGCTATCTTATGAGCAAGAAATATTCTAAAGGCCGATTGATGAGATAGGTTCTTTTGTTGCAAGAGTTTGATAAAGACATCCAAGATCGAAAAGGAAGTGAAAACCAAGCGGCGGACCACTTGTCTCGTTTGGAGGAGGAGGGGAGGACGCATGATGGCCTTGAAATCAATGACTCCTTCCCCGATGAGAAACTCTTGGCTATTTCAATGAAAGAGGTGCCATGGTTCGCGGATCTAGCAAATTTTCTTGTAAGTGATATCATCCCGAATGAGTTCTCTTCAAACCAAAGGAAGAAGCTCAAACGGGATTGTCAAGACTATTATTGGGATGAACCTTTCCAAATTTGTACAGATGGGGTGATTAGAAGATGTGTACCAGAGGAGGAACAAGTTGAAATTCTTGGGGCTTGTCATTCTTCACCATATGGTGGTCACCATGGTGGGGTAAGAACGACGACCAAAGTGCTAAGTTACGGTTTCTATTGGCCCACTCTTTACAAGGATGCAACTGATCTAGTCAAGCGTTGTAATGAATGTCAAAGGGCTGGTGGAGTTTCAAAGAAAAATGAAATGCCTCTCATCACCATTTTGGAGATTGATATTTTCGATGTGTGGGGTATTGACTTCATGGGTCCTTTTGTGAGTTCTTGTGGAAACACTTACATCTTGGTCGTGGTTGATTATGTGTCCAAATGTGTTGAGGCCGTTGCTTTACCCAACAATGAAGAGAAGTGTGGTGGAATTTTTGAAGAAGAATATTTTCACAAGATTTGGTACTCCAAGGGCTATCATAAGTGATGGGGAATCGCATTTTTGCAGCAAAGCTTTCGACACCTTACTCACCAAGTATGGTGTCGCTCATAATGTCACGACTCCCTATCATCCACAAGCAAGCGGTTAAGTGGAAGTCTCCAACCAGGAGACAAAGAGTATTTTGTCCAAAATAGTGAATGTTAATCGGAAGGATTGCTACAAGAAACTTGATAATGATTAATGGGCTTATAGGACGGCTTACAAAACACCTATCGGAATGTCCCCATACCGGTTGGTGTTCGGAAAAGCTTGTCATCTTCCGGTGGAACTTGAGCACAAAGCTATGTGGGCTTTAAAAAAGCTCAGTCTTGAGTGGGATGTCACAGCCAACTTAAGGGTGGCACATTCGAACGAGTTGGATGAATTCTGGTACCATGCATACACAAGTTCTTCCTTATACAAAGAGAAGATGAAATGTCTTCATGACAAGTACATATGGAACAATGATTTTAAAAAGGGTGATCTTGTGTTGTTAAATTCACGGTTGCGGATGTTCC